TTTTACTACATAGCTTGGACTTGTAGTGATCCTCCTGTTTTCAGCCTCCCAAGTGCTGGGATTATAGGTGCATGCCACCAGGCCCAGTCTATGGGTGACCCTTTATGGGAAAGTGTTTTCTACTATCAGATGAATTCGTCTTTGGTGCCTTTTTCTACATTACATAGAGGCTGCAATGCATATTCATCAGTGCTCCTAATTTATGAAGACAACAGACAGCAGTCTACATTTCAAGGAAAAATTGAGTCTAACCTGCTGAAACTGATGTTCAAGGCCTTTTATAACAAATTCAATCTGCATTTTTACTACTACCTTCTCTTTAAATATCACACTTATACTATACTGCACTTCAAACACAATCAGATTTTCCTGCTTCACTGCATATACAACCTTTCTTATTCTCTAAGAACACATTGTCAGCACTGGCTCCACCTACCGAAGACTCACTGAACCTTTCACTACCCTGCAAGACTCCACTTCTTCTAACTTTACTTTTTCTATTACAAAGTTATTACTTTAGAAGACATTCACACAAGCTGTCTTATCTAATGTTAAGGGGATACAGGTAAACGTCTACAAAGCCACTACATTTCCTTAAAGCAAGAACGTAATTCATCCTCTAAGCCCTATAATAATATATATATATTTTTTGGCTGGCTCAGGCTGCCTTAAGGGTGGGTCTGGTAAGGTAGGTGGAGCTGGGTATTGAACCATGGCATCTGCACCTGATTGTGTTTGCATGAGCAGGTACTTAAGCAAGTGAGCAAACTGGCAGGGCCCCCTAAGCCCTATAATAATAAAGGTTCCAATTAGGGCTACATACTAAATCTATTTATAGCTCCTCCATGAGGAATTAAAGAATTTTCACAAAGCTTAAAATGTAATAGGACTAGCAAAAAATGGCTTCTTTTTCCCCTTTTGAGTTATTTACCCAGATCACAGTATCTAGCCGTATGCACTCCACGGCTGGTGACACTGCTAGCCATACCCATAGAGGAAGTCTCAGCTACAAGACCACAACTTGGGCTACTCTGTCTTCTCAGAAGTTGGGGAGCTCTGTTATCTGAATCAGGGCAACGTTTCACTGTTGATGATTTTTCTTCATCTGGGAAGCTGTCTTCAGAATAACTATTTATCCTTGGCTAGTGATAAAAAGACAAGAAGGTAGTTTAAAAATGATAGATGAAAACTACTAACAGTAATTATTAAGTATCAAAGACTTGAGAAGGTGGGAAATATACCTTTTTTCTTCCTTTTATAGAGTTAAAATTACTGCATGAAGTAAAAATGTCAGCAATAATTTACATGTTGTCTCAACCCAACTATGAACTTTTGATTTTTTAATCAGCTCCAAATCAAAACTGGTGACTATTTTATAACTAATACATTATGTAAACAGGTCACAAAATATTTAATAACTAAAAACAAACAAGGAAAATAAGTACAAGTATGCTGAGATGTCAAACTGTAGTAATAAATGAGGGTGACACATGATGAACTATTTCCCTTCTATGTGCTCAAGTATTTTCTCAAATGAGCAATAACTTATTTATTTTTCTTGTAGCTATTAAAACATTTTATTTTTTCTGAAATATTCTTTATTATATATTTTTTATCTTCAGATTCTTGTGCAGAAAATTTTATCCATTTAGAATACATTTAAGAAAATTCTGAATAAAGTTATTTTTTAGAATTTAATTATTTAGAAAAATATTTACTGTTCTGTTCAAAGTAAAATAGCTCACCTTAGGAGGTAGGGGAGGTGGTATTGCACGTTTTGAGGTTGATCTAATACAAAGAAAAAAAAAACAGTTTAGATAGTGATAAATACATAAAATAAAGACAATATTTAAATATAAGCTAATAATCTGTTCAGAGGAAAAGACACATATATTATGATACAAAACATAAAACGTTTAGGAAGACCTAAGACCTTATATTGTTAGGTTGTCTTAGTAGTCATATAGAGATTTCATAAAGTGGACAGAAGGTCTTTTTTTACTTAACAGTTATGTTTGATGGATTTAGATATAATGGAGTTACTACTCTGCCATAAAGGAAGATAAATCAGTCATTTAAAGCGAAATAGATGTATCTTGCGATCATAATGGTAGGTGAAATAAATCAAGACACGCAAGCTTCAATATCACATGGTTTTTCTTACATGAGAAACTCAAAGTACAAACAAATTAAAGAGCAAATTAAAAGATAGATAATAGGAAACAGATTTTTTCCAATGGGATTAAGAGGTGGAGGGAGGGGCTGGGGAGATGGCTCAGTGGAATAAGTGCTTCCCTGGCAAGCGCAAGGGCCTGAGTTCAATCCCTGGTTCAGCAAAAAAAAAAAAAAAAAAAGAGATGGAGGGAAGAGGAAAAAAGGGGATACAAAGGAGATAAAAAGAATTACGATGTATTATGTACATGTATTAACCTGCCACAATGAATGTGATGATTATGTACTGGAAGCATACCCTAACAAAATTAAAAAAAAATTGACTTTATAGTTATGTTTGATTTAACTTGTAATAAAAACTAAAACTTGCTAGTAAAAAATAAGTTCACGTAGGAGAATAGCTAAGTGAGAAAAAAAGTACTCAGCAAGGGCAGTGCCCTGAGTTCAATCACCAACACCAAATAAAACAAAACAAAAAATATATACATAATTCAGGTCAAAATCTGTACATTATATTGGTGTGCTACTCATTACATTTAAAAACTTTATAAAAAAGGATTTTGCTACCTAATTTCAAATTTACTGTAGAAAACAATAGCTCAAGTTATTATTTTTAAAAAGTTTATTTGTTAAATAAATGAAATGAGCTTCACTATAAAGGAATACTACTGAGTGCTACAAAAGTAGCACCTTGGGGCCAGGGAGATAGCTCAGCAGAATAAGCACTTGCTTGGCAAGCACAGGGTCCTGAGTTCAATCTCTCGTACCACACATACACAAAAAAGCACATAATATGATGTTAATTGTTCTTGTACATTTTAAGATAAAAATTTGACAACAAACTTCAGTTTTATTTAAAGCAAGGAGCTACTGACTTATTATGACTTATTCCCTAGTAATTGTTTTCCTCTTTTTGCATGTGTGTCTGAATTCTCTTTGATGCTTTTATGTATTAACAGTATAACAAATGTCTGCAATGTTGTAAAAAATCATTATGCTATGTATATATACTCAGAATATACCTAATACATAATTAAACAGAATGTACTTTGAGGGGCTGGTGAGATAGCTCCGCAGACTAAAGTGCCTGTGTAGGCAAGCTGTGGCAAGTGCAGGGACCGCAGTTTGACCCCTGGCACCACATGCCTTGCCAGCCCTGCCCCCATGGTGGGCTGAGCAGGGCGTAGTGATGCACGCCTGTACTTCCAGCGCTGGGGCGGCTGAAAGCAGGAGGATCACCATGAGTACAAGCTGCGTAGTGAGACCCTGCAACAACCAAATACATTAAAAAAAAAGTACTTTGAATTTAAAAACAGTTCATAATTCTAGAACTTACAGGGTCATGTGGCGATATGACCAAACCCTTTGTTACTCAAAACACACCAGACTGGTAATAATGGCATTCCCTGAGAACTTTTAGGAATAAACCCTTTAGATCTGCTAAATCAGAATTTTAATAAGATCTCCAGCAATTCAATAGGCAGATGAAAGTTTGAGGAGCACTGATCTAACACTGGTCATACAAATCTATCTACAGTTACTGCCATCAATTGGGACGCTTTTGGGATTCTTAGAAACTGCCAAACAGTAAATACTATAGTCTCTACAATGTATACAGTAGGTACAACTCTACTTATATCGTGTGAAACCAGCTGTAAACAAATATATAAACTCACAGATATGACTGTTCCAATAAGCCTTTATGACAGTACAATATGAATTTTTTTTTTGGACAGTGCAATATGAATTTTATACAATTTTCACATGAAACAAAATGAAGTTTTCATTTGACTTTTTCTTTTTCTTTTTTTTTCCTGTATTTTAGGGAAGGTTCTACAGGGTGTTCAGGGTCTCACTACTAGATTAGGCTCATAGTGATTCTCCTGTTTACAGCCTCCCAAGTGCTAAGATAATAGGCACGTGCCACTCATTGAGGCCCAGTCTCAATGAGTCTGAGTGAGCCCTGGGGGAGGGGCCAGTACGGCAGGCTCAGGGATCTAATCCTGTGCCTGCTTGCAGGCGCTTTAATCTGCCTAGCTATTTGGCTGGCCCTTCATTTGACTTTTTCAACCATAAAAAAATAAATTCTTACTGCACCAGCCCACAGGCTATGGTCTACCAACTCCGCATCCTTAGGTGAAAGGGGAGGACTTAGGAAAATCTGTATTTCTTAAGAGCTCTCTAGGTAATAGCACTGTTTAGACAGTTGAACAACTCACAGGCCCCTCACATAACTGCAAGTAAAGTCTATGACCTGGAGCAATTCCACTGGAATGATGGACTGGTGCTTTCTGATTTCCACTACAGTCTTTCCCCCCATGACATTACATGGTTCACCTTTCAATACAATATTATTATACACAATATATTCTCATTAAAACAAAAGCCAAAAACCTTAATGCTCAAAGGATGATACCATTTGGTAATAAAGTCAGAAGCTTTGCGCTGGTGGCTTTTTATTTTATTTTACTTTCGGAACCAGGGATTGAACTCAGGCCCTTGTACTTGCCAGGCAAGCGTTTATTCCATTGAGCTATCTCCTCGGCCCCCCGCTGATGGCTTTAAGAAAAAGAAGTTATTACAACAAATTACTCTTTCCCTACTAAATACTGTTTTACATAACCAAGTAAAATAGTTATTAATTAGAAAAACAAAGCAACATACTTGCTAGTATTTGCACCATCAACAAAAGGATTCCACCGTAATAAAAAGTTTGGGTCTGATGACATTCCCTGTGAAGATTAAAGATACAATTTCAACTGTAACTTTCACAGATATTAACTATCTTAATATTAACCATTATTTGTGGATACCAATCACAGAAACACTTCACTGTTCTATCATGAGTGTTAACTATCTGGGTACTCAAGACAATTTTTAAATATCCAGCTAGATTTGCTTTGTCATCTGATGTATTTAGGCCAATGGCTCCTTATCAGTTGACATGAATTTCAGAAATTCTACAAACATAGTAAACATAGTTTCAAATGTGATAAGCCCTGTTAACCAATATGCTGGTATATTCTTTTCTTTTTGGTTGGGTATCAGGAATCAAACTCAGGACTTAGAGGCTGGGAGATGGCTCAGTAGTAAGTGTTTCCCTGGCAAGTGCAAGGGCCTGAGTTCAATCCCTGGTTCTGCCAAAGAAAGGAAAAAAAAAAAAAAAAAAAAAAGAGGTATACAAACTTGGGACTTTGTCCTTGCCACACATGCGCTGTGCCACTGAACTATATCCCTGGCTCTATGCTGGTGTACTCCAAAGTAAAAATTACTTTCCATTTTTGTATTACTAATCCACTAACATGGATAACTAATAACCTATGAAACATATACAAAAGAAAAATAATTTACAAATGTTATGAATGAAAAGATCCATTAATAGAAGACTATTACTCAAAATTATATTTTTATTAATAATACAGTAGATAATAAGGTAATATCTAGGATAACCCTAACAATATTTTGCTTTATTTATTCTTTCCTTTTAGGTAAGGAAGAGGTTAACTAAATAGTTATCTCAAGTTAACACAAAATAAGAAACAGATGTGGTGGTGCACATGCGATGCCCATACTCTGGGAGGCTATAACAGGAGGGTTAGAAGTTTGAGCCCAGCCTGGGCAATTTTGCCAGTTGGGGAGATCTTGTCTCAAAAATTAAAAATTAAAGGGGAAGGACTGTAGCTTAGTGCAAATTCAGTAATTTGGGCTCACTCCCTAGTACGACGAAAAAAAGATCAATGGCTCTTTTCTGGCTGGAACCACGGAGAGTGTAGAAGAGAAGAAAAAGAAGGTTTCTGCTGTGCCAGAAATCCTTAAGAAAAAGTGAAGACATTTTGCAGATAGATGTACAGAACTGAGATCCGAATGGCTAGGATGGTAAGAAAAGCTGGCAACTTTTTTGTCCCTGCAGAGCCCAAACTGGCCTTTGTCATCTCTATCAGGAGTATCAGTGGTGTGAGCCCAAAGGTCCGCAAGTATCGCAGCTTCTTCACCTTTACCAAATGTTTAATGGTACCTTCGTTAAGTTCAACAAGGCTTCAATTAACATGCTGAGAATTGTGGAGCCTTACATTGCATGGGGGTATCTAAACCTGAAGTCAGTGAATGAACTAATATACAAGCATGGCTATGGCAAAATCAATAAGAAGTGAATTGCCTTGACAGATAATTCATTGATCGCTCGATCTCTTAGTAAGTATGGCATCATCTGCAAGGAGGATCTGATTCATGAGATCTATACTGTTGGAAAATGCTTCAGAGAGGCAAATAACTTCCTGTGGCCATTCAAGTTATCATCTCCGCGAGATGGAATGAAGAAAAAGGCCACCCATTTTGTGGAAGGTGAAGCTGGAAATAGGGAGGGCCAGATCAACAGGCTTATTAGAAGGATGAACTGGGTCGGGGAGATGGCTGAGTAAAATAAGTGCTTCCTTGGCAAGCACAAGGGCCTGAGTTCAATCCCCAGTTCTGCAAAAAAAAAAAAAAAAAAAAAAAAAAAAAAAAAAAAAAAAATCAATGGTTAAAAAATAAATTTTTTCCCTCCCTCCCTTCCTTTTTGGTGGGGCCAGGATTGAACCCAGCATTGCACACAAGCTAAACAACCAGTACTACTGAGCAACATCCTCACAAATAAGCTACTTTAAAAAAAAATAGTAAGGCAATGAAAAAAATGTATTTTCCTATGAACCTAAGAGAATCAGTAAGAAAAAGGTTGTGAGAGCTTAAAGTAAAGCATCCTGCTAAATTTTTTTTTTTTTTAATTTTTGAAAAATCTTTGTATTTATTTGGTATAGGGCCTCACTATGCAGCTCCGGGCTTACAGTGATCCTTCTGTCTCAGCCTCCCCAGCATTGCAATTACAGACGTGCAGAACCACGGCTGGTTTCAATGGCGGGCACAGCGTACATGGTATAGGGGATCGAACCTCAGTCCTTGTGCTTGCCAGGCAAGTGCTCAGACCACTGAGCTATCTTCTCAGCCTTTGTTAAAAGTTTAGTAAATTCACAGACGTTCTCTGAAAGACCCTGAGAGGTCAAAATGAATGGTGAAATAGTGGATTATACTGTACCCTCATCAAAGTTCATTTGTGAACTTTTTCAAACCACAGTACAAAAAAAATTATTAAAATTAATGCTAAAGGGCATGTTATTTTGTTTCTTAGAGTGTAACCAATACTATTTCTCAAATTTAATGTGAAAATATTTTAAAGTCACGGTCTTACCATTTCATCCCGGGCTTCTGTTTCTTTTCTCAGAGGAGGTTCAAACTGTAATTTGTCAACTGCAAAATACGTAATAGATATACACAAACTCAGTTTCTTGAAGGGCTTGTCTCGGAAATTTAATGAGACAATTGTGTACTGGCAGCAGGAGAAGGAAGAGAAAAGAGGGAACAGAAAGAAAACAATCCTATTTATTGATTTATTTTA